CATCGAAAAATCCAAATGGTATGGCGAAACCGACGAATCATGAAAGCCGATAAAATCGAGGATCCCAGAGAAAGAGCATCAAAATTTTTCTGAAATAGTTGTGAACTAGGCCGGCCCGAAATGTCCCTGAATAAGTCTCAAAATGACCCAGAACTAGTCCCAAAATGATCCTAAACTAGTCGTGAACTATTCCCGAAATGGTCCTCATTTGAAAACACATTTACATGTATGGCTGTAGCTGAGTGTGCAAGGACGCTTGATACAATTGGTTGCTGCCAAGAGGGTCCGGATTCAATTACCATCAGACGGAACATAAAATAAAATAAATTTTTCTGTGCACTTCACAACGACATATTTTATAACGTACATACTCAAATTTAAAACTAGTTGGGTTGGTGCTCTTTCATATGCGTATTTTTTTTTAAATTTAGCACGTTTTTTATGCTAAAATTTTTTTCCCTCAGTGAGGATGCTAAAATGTCGCTTTTCTATTTATATTTTCGCCACTGTATGTATTTATTAGTTTGCCATAAAATAGATCTCCGAATCTACATTCAAAAGTCATATCTTAATAAATTCGGGATATACTGGCATCACTAAAGCAGCTCTAATTCTGAAAGCATTTCTACCGTAAATAAAAAAAAATTGTGGTTCTCTTGTAAAATATAAAATTTTCAGCCAAAAGAAAAGAGTTCAGCATTCTTGTTCCAATGTCCAGCCATGGGCCGATTTGTATCTAGCAACCCTAACCAGGAATACATAGAATGGCAGGGGGTGTGCCTGGAACTGGTAGAGTTGAGCCATGCGTCACAAAAAAGTTGACCTCTCAAAGAACCTCAATCGCTCCTGTCGTCATAATATTGGGAAAAAATTATTAGAATCGGCATAGTATTACCATGTATGTATAGGTAATAGAAATCGTCTTAGACGGAAAATGTCTGTAGTTTGGTATTTTGAAACAACCATATGTCTTCCCATACTATGTATTCTCTTACTTCTAGAAACCTCATCAGATACTATTTTGCATACTGTAATTCACACAATCGAACTCTCATGATCAGAGGCTGATCCACACGCTCTTTGTTCAAAGTCTCTCTCATGCTCACTCGACTCACCTACAGAATGTTAAATCGACCTCTAATAACATCACACATGAGTGCTATAAAAAATCATTAAATACCAACACACATTTGTACATGAGCATGGAAAATCTAAAGCAATTTTTTCGATACCACAGACAATTGGTTACACAGCTCGAAATAATGAAGAAAAGGTAAAAGAGAAATAATAAATAAAAGAATTAAAGGCATTATTAAAAGCCCACTGCTAGTTCGGCTAAACCTTTTTGATTTGGACTCTATGCTCTGCACGACTATAACAAATCGAGATTAAAGATTTTGAATGGCACTCGTATAGTACTAAGTAAGCATAGGTTGTTGTATTGTAGAAGTAAATTTAAATAAGTACTATGTATGTATGTATGTATGTATTACTGTGCATGAAAAGCCGAAGTTTGAAACGAATTAAGCGCGCTGTCAGTTCAAATGATCGTTGATTGTGCATTTGTTTTGGATACTTGTATGTGCATTAGGGTGGTCCAAAAAAAAGTAAAGTCGGAATTTTAATGCTCTCACCACCTAGGATTGTTTTATATCGAAAAAATAAATCCCTGTTTTTTTTATTTTGAAATCAAATAAAATTTAGAGGTCGCTCAAGGAGCTCAAAGTTTTATTTTATGTGTGAAAAAAATATTTCTTAGAAATGGTATAGGATTCCTCAAGATTCATATTTTTCGATCGGAAAACTATGTTTCTCTTCAGAAGACTTCCAAATAATAGGCAATTGTTTATTTAACCATTTTTCAATACTTACGATTTTTTAGTATTATCGTTAGAAGTTTCCTAAAACAGAGTTGTCCGATTGAAAAATATTGATTTTCAAGAATTCTATACCATTTCTGGGATCACAATTTTTGGGATCACCCTAATGTACATATTTGTGTATATTTTTCTCCTTTCATTCTAAATTACCATATTCTATACAATCATGCATACACACTTTACATAAGGCATACATATGTATTTATTGTATAAAGTACGTACACATATTTTCCTTTCTTTTCTTTCCTTTCTATTTTTTATTGCATTTCAAATGCTTGAAGCTAATAATTTATTTTTATTTGCCTTTTTAGTTTACTACATTTTGCCTTTCCCCAAAAACTTTATGGGTTTTCATTTAATTTAACATTCACCGGTGGTTCACCAGATTACTAGCAGCTGATGGGCTGAGGGATTTTCGAACGAAGTGTTTAAAAAGAAGATTATCTACTACGTCCAAAGTATGTACATAGTATGCATACTGTTAATAAACTAAATAGTTCTTATGTGTTTCTTTTTGAAGTTCAATAGACTCAATTAATTAAAAATTTTACTTTATAGTTCAGGGTTATCCAGCATTTTCGTACTTTTTACAATGCCCTTCTTGAATACTATGTACTTATGTGTGTTTGTATGTTCGCAGTTGTGTCCTAATCCGCTTGACCGATCATAGGCAAATTTGGCACATCTACTGCTGACTTTCCGGCGATGGTGATAGGCTAAAAATAATTTCTATATATGGGGCGTGACAGCTCTTATACAAATAGAAACTTTCATTATGCACATCTTTGGAAGAATTTGTGATAGAGTACTGGAATTTAGTAGGAGTAGGTACTAAGTAGAATTTTGTGTGCAGATATACGAAACCAATTTCATATTCATAGAGTAAAGTCTCAGTTATTGGAAATAAGGATGTCGTCCCTCGCATACAAGTGGAAATCGTGGGCGAGCCATGTTGATAAATTTCTTTTAGTTTTTCGAAAAATTGTATTGATGCCTCGCTTATTGATAAGTTTTGGAGTAAAGGGCTGTTTCCAGCTCTCAAGAATAGCAAAAACTTCATATAAAATGACGCACAAGTAGTGGAAAAAAACTTTTCTTCTATCAAATTTCTTAAATCAGTTTGCAGCTCTCAAGAGAAAAATGCTCGCATATTTGTTTCTTCAAGAAAAATATACAGCAAAAGCAAAGTGTTTTTTCAAGCAACAGACATAACGAAAAATATTTCTTGTAATTTTTCTTGAGAGCTGAATTCTTAGCTTAAGGAATATACGATAAGGAATTAAGATTATGGTCCGTTATACGTAGATAACTTCTCAACGCATTTCATTAGTTTGATAAATTTTTATAACACTCCTTATGTGGGAAAAAACTAACAAGTGGTGACAACATATTTGGCCTCGTATGCGGTAGAGGGTTAATTTTCTTTTAATTTTTAGATTTTATTGTTTTGAAAACAAAAACAAAATTTTTTTATTTATTTAATTTTTATCCTTATTTTATGATTTTTTTCTCTTTTTAAATTTATTTATTCTTCTTTTTAACCGACTTAAAAAAAGTAGGTTATAAATTCGTCAGAATATTTTTATTTTTATTTTTTTTATGTATGCTAACGCATAACTTTTTACCATGTTAACAAATTTCTTTAATTTTTTTTTTAAGGCAAGGTGGTACCTCAGAGGTGGAACCATACTAATTTGGTTTATATCCGGTCATTGTATCATGAAAAAATCAACGATATTAATAAACTTTTATATTAGAATTGAAGTTGGTTTTGTTTTTGCTTAAAAATTACTTGTTTACTTTTGTTTTCTTTTAATTTTTAACCGACTTCACAAAAAGGAGAAGGTTATCAATTCGTCCGATTTTTTTTTTTCTTATTTTTGTATGTAGATTTGTTACCGCATTACTTTGGACCACGTTAGCCGATTTCTATAATTCTTTTATTTTAAAGGAAAGGTGTTACCTCACAGGTGGTCCCATACTAATTTGGTTTAAATACGATCATTGGATCATGAAGAAATTAACGATATTCCTAAATTTTGGTTTTGTATTTTGCTTAAAAATTCCTTCTTTGATTTTATTTTTTTAACAATAAAAAATATATTTTGAATTTAATTTCATCCTTATAAACCTATTTAATTTTTTTTATTTTATTTAATTTTTCTTTTTTTAATTTTGTTTCTAAATTTTTCTTTTTTCAAATTAATTTTTAGATTTTGTTTTAAAAAGAAATATCTTTTTTTCGTTTAATTTAGTTTTAGGAACTTATTATATTTTCTTTTTTTAATTTAATTTTCTTAAATTTTTTTATTTCATTGTTTTAAAAAGCAAACTAATTGCTTGCCTAGATAATTAAATTTTTAGAAAACTTGTTGCTAAAAGTCAAACAGATCTTTGTAGTGTCAAATATAAGTGTAGCAACACTAGACCGTACCATCACGCAAGCAAATAAAAAAAGTTCGATTCGAAGGCAAATTTTGATTTTTTTTTTTTGCCGAATCTGGGGTGACACTTATGTATGTATGTACCCTTTTCGACCCTGCTGAGATAATTTATCCAAGAAGTTGTCAAAAATAAAGCTAACTACAACTTTTTTTTATTTTTTAAGATACAAAATTTCTTTCCACAAATTTCCATACCAATAACTCGAAATAAGTTTTCAAACCTTCATATCCACTTAGAACTATTGGTTCTAATTTTTTCAAAACTATTTTCCAAAAATATCAGCCAAAATTGCCACAACAATTAGGGAACGATAATGGATGCAATAAACAGGAATTTGTTGACTCCAAATAAAAGGCGAACAAAAACAATAAATATTGTCAATTTGTGCATTTCGTGTAGTTATTCAGGAATCTCATAATCATAAACGAAATATGAAATGACAATAACGACAACACACTCGAAAAAAACTCATTAAAACAAACAGACGCAAATAAAAGTAAGTCAAAAGGTAAAATACTCAAAAACAAAAAGGTAAGAATCGGCAAAGGGAACCCAAAAATTTAACATGAGAATAAATAACGAAAAAAAAAAAATTAAATGGAAAACAAGACAACACAACAACATATCGAACGAAAAGCGCATAAAAACAGATCAAAATTTATTATTATTATTTACCGTGTGCCTTCTTCTTTCTGGATTTCGGCGCCATGACTGTCGACTGCGGCTGCTGCTTCTCTTTCTCCTTCTACTTCTCCTTTAGCTGTTACGTTTCCTTTTTTGTGCTGCCTTCAACAGGCAAGTAGGCTGACTACTAGAGCCTTTAAAATCTTTTATGAAGAATATTCAACAACAACAACAAAGCTTCTAAAGACCTCTCTAATTCTCCGTTCGTACTTCACGCTTTGTTTTGTTATGCCACTAGGCTGGCTGCTGCACCTTCGCAGAACAGCCTGAAACACTAAATACAACAATAAAAACTAGCACCAGGCTCGCGAGCAAATCTCGCCGAGAACAACTGGTTGGACAATAACACTTATGCACGTCGTATGATGTGGCATGGAAGAATATATTGTTCTTTTGTTGTTTTTTTATGTTTTTGTTTTTATAGCTTGTAGAATAGTTGCAGGCGCGCGGCAAGGAAAATCGTCGTCGTCGCCACCGTTTAAAATACAAGAGCTGCGCTCATAAATAAATGTCTGTCTGTCTGTCTGTTTGTCCGTGTGCTGGGACGTCGTCGTCCAAGGCAAGGTAATCCAGCAAAGCAATTTCTGCTCCAGCAGCAGCAACAGCAACAACAACAATGAAGACGGCAGCTTAAAGTGATCAACAATAGCCAGTCAGGCAGTCCGTTGTAATCACAGCAACAGCTCCAAGCTAGCGATCAGGCTGGCGACAACGTAGACGTGCTTCTCTTGTTTTTGTTGCAGTAAGAATGATCGTTTGGAACGAACGCGCAGATCACCGCTGGCTCTGGACTAGCTGCTTCACACAAAAGGTGTATTTAGAGCTCTCCGAGTGTGTGGTGTGTGTGCGCCTCACAAAAGGTACGGCGGTTAAGCGGCTAACGAAAAGGTCGCCGGCTTCAAGTGGCTGACGTCGGCGGCTGTGACTGCACGACGGTGGTGTTGAAGGAGTATGCGGAGGCGCGGCGTTGGAAGGTCGGCGGTTGAATGGCGTCTACAAAATTATGGGCCTTTTGCGCGAATCTTTTTTATGCCATAACGACTACCTCCTTTATCCTTGGGCTTTTTGCTGCTGTTGTTGTGCGTTTTTTCTCTTTCTTTTTGCACACTTCTTTGGCAAACTGCTTAAGTTGCTTTTTCCGCTACGAATGGATGTTTTATTTTCTTCACAGCTCCAACGCTGTTTGAAGCGTTTGCGACTGATGGATGTTCGCAAAAGATGACAGCGATTTGAGTTGTTGTGGTTTTTTTACGTTTCCTTTGTTTTTGTTGTTGTTCTTTCAATGCGCTATGTAGCGTGGTGTGAGCGCGTGATCACGTTGAGTTTAATTATAGGCGAAAGGTGGCGATACAAATCAGGTGAAATTTAATCCCGAGTGTAGCTGAATGCGTAAAAGGACAATGTGAACTCGCGCCTGTGCTATGGCTGCCACTGTAAGTGAGCGCGCGCTGCTGGACTACGTGCAGTGCGTTGTTGCAATAAGCGTTTTGTTTTTCCTTCAAAGCTCTACACTACCAACTTTTGTTTAGTCTTTAGCCACAAAAGTATTTCCTTTTCACACTCTCGATTTCAAGAATGTATGTATGTATGTAAAGTGATTGATGTGTTTTGAAATGTGAGCTCAAATGCCTTGGAAAAAATATTGTTTGTGCTTTTTTCCGTATTTTCGTCTACGTTTATATTTAAATACTCATTATGTATTTGTATTTACTCGAGCACCGTTTTATTATTAAAATTTATTGTTGTTTTTGTCGCGCACTGATAAACACTTAAAAATGTCGCAGTTTTGAAAAAAAAGCTTACAAAAACACTGCTAGCTGAGTACTTTTCATATCAGGCAGATAAAAAAAAAATGCCTTGCAATTCGTGGCACTACTTTATTTCCGCTTTACGCACAAACACTCCCACGGAGGTATGCAAACGAAGC